AGTTGATGAGACAACTCGACGAGTAGGTGGGGTTTTCCTGATCCTTTGGATGCGGCATGAACTCGACGAGTTGGCTAGCAACTCGGCGAGTAGACTTGGGTTTTTGTGATTTACTGAGTTCTGAGGGACTCGATGAGTTCATGAGTTGTACTCGGCGAGTTAAGTCAACATGGACTGTTGACTTGAGTGTTGACCTCTGTTGACTTTTAGAGTTGGGTCAGTGTTGACTGTTGACTTCCGTTGACTTTAGGGTTTTGGGCAACTGTGGATTCTTGGAGGCCATAGAGGGGCGGAGATTTGGCTGGCAGCTCGAGTGAGGGATGTATTGCTTTACTCTGGGAGGTGAGTCTTCTCACTATACTTACATGAGTGGTAATTACTGTGTGACCGGAGGGTCTTCATTGAGATACAGGACCGGGGGGTCCAACCTGAGTTGTGAGACTGGAGGGTCTTCACTATTGACCGGAGGGTCTTATTATATTATTGACCGGAGGGTCTTATTTGTTATACTGTGATATGCGTTATCGTGCATATTGTCTTTGTGACTTATGATGCTATACTATTCAGTGTATATGTTGATTATATGTGCTTATACTGAGTTATGTAATATGTTATGCATTCTGCCCTTGTGATTATGTTATGCTTTACTGAGTTAGAACCAGAGGGTCCACCCAAGTTGTGGGACCGGAGGGTCCCACTGAGACACATTGACCGAAGGGTCTTATTTGAGTTATAGCCATGAAAGGCTAATATGTTATGCATTCTGCCCTTGTGATTATGCTATGTTTTACTGAGTTAGGACCGGAGGGTCCACCCGAGTTGTGGGACCGGAGGGTCCCACTGAGACACATTGACCGGAGGGTCTTATTTGAGTTATAGCCACGAGAGGCTAATGAGATATGTGTGGTATTTTGGGGAACTCACTAAGCTTCGTGCTTACCGTGTTATGTGATATGTGTTTAAGGTACTTCTTAGGATCGCGGAAAGACGCCGGCTTGATTGTACACACACTTGATATGGAGTTTTTGTTTTGTGGATCCTGGATTTTATTCGAATAATTATGATCATGTATTTTTGGATAATTTGACAATTGGCGATTTTATGAAATAGGTTGACGAGATTTACGTGATTTTAAAACGAAAAATTTGTCTGAAAATTTATGGTGTTACATAAAAGATACTATTATAATAACACTTTGTATATTATATTTTATAATATTTATTGTTTATAAGTTCATAATAACGATATTGAACTTAAACATAAGCTATACTTAAAGTAGGGTAAGCATAACTCACTTACCGGGAGGTTTGGCTAGGAACCGGGCTCTGCGGGGGCAGAACTTCCGAGCCAAAAATATCTTCTTCTCGGAACCTTCTGGCGCATCGGGACTTGCCTCTTAGCACTTGGGAAGTACTAAGGGTCGGGAGGGGTTTAGAGGGTGTTTGAGAGAGAAAGAATGGGAAAGGTGTGAGTTTTTGGGGTGATTTGCGCCTCTATTTATAGGCTGAGTCCAGTTCGAACGCGGGGCGTTCCCTTGCTGAACTCTGGGCGTTCGTGGCCAGGTGTCTACATCTGGTGCCAAGCCATGGTGAGGAAATAGTGGCTCGGATCGCGCCACGTGTCTCTTGCTGGTTACTCCACAAACTAATTATCTTCTAAAATCCGTAACTTTTGCATACAAACTTCGTTTTTGACGTTCTTTATATTCATGCATAGGTATTGACGGAATCTACAACTTTCGTTTAGACTCCGTCGGCTAATTTTTGACTTTATTTTTAAAGTTAAATTTTAACAGACTTAGACGGTTAAAATTCGTTATAAATTCATAACTTTTTCATCCAACGTCCGATTTCGACTGTCTTTATATTTTCGAGCTCCTATTAATGAGATCTTCAATTCTAATTTAGGTTCTGTCGGCTAAAAATCAATCGATCTAAAATTCGATTTCCGGGCTGTGCACTGTTATGTTAAATCTTAGAAAAATAATAACTTCCTCATACGAAGTCAGATTTGGACGTTCTTTTTATGCACGCTCATGGTTTAACGTATACTACAACATTTAAGTAATTTATCAAAAATTCACTTTTTACTTTATGCGGTGTCGTGTCGGTTTAGCCGTAAAACTTCGACAGGTCATAACTTCTTCGTTATAACTCGGATTTTGGCGTTCTTTATATGTACGGAACCTTTGTGACATATACTATAACTTGGTTAAGATTATTTATTCTAAATAATCTTCTATCAAAAAATTTATTTTTGACGCTTATTGTCTCTAAGTTGACTAGCCCGAATCTGCGGGCTTTACACATCTCTAATATAGTAAGTAAATGTTTTTTTTTTCATCAGGACATTTTTTCTATGTTGATGCATCTTCATGATTAATCTTGGACAATCTTTCAGAATTTCTGATCATTCTTGTCTCCACCTAATGCAATTTCAGTTTTATCTGTCAAATTATATTAATATTCATCTTTCTTCTACAAGATTTATACCTATAGCCCACTTACTTATTTCTAATTTATTAATTTATTTGGGTTGCCCCTATGGAAACATAAATTAACGTAATACGTTCTCCCATTTTTCTTGTTCTCAATTTATGATATGCGTGCTTGAAACAGTACTGTGGTGAAATTCGTTTTTGAAATTGAATTCGTGTTTCCAAAATTGAACTCATGGAAGGTAGTTGTGGTTTTCATTTGTTTATTTGTTCATATACATATTATAAAAGGCAAAATTGCAAAATTACATGATATTGTGGTGAGGAAATTTGTTTGACATTACATAGTACTTCTAATTTGATGCTTCATCTTTTTTTTTCTTACGTTCCTGTTCGAAAAAGTAAGCAAACGATTCTTATAGTTGTTTATGTAGTTTTGATTATCGGATCCTTATTGGGGAATGCTTACCAGGTGGCCGAAATTTTGTTTGAATTCAAGTCTCAATTCGGATATGGTTGAAGAAGTTCCCGCTATGTCTGTTTCATTGAAACAGAGAGATATCGAAGCAAAAAAAGTTATACATGCACCTTACAACATTCTATCATAATGAAATCTCGAATTTTAATTCTGTAAAAACATGTTATACATGCACCTTACAACATTCTTCTTTTCTTTGTTTATTTGTCGTTGAATCAAACTGGAAGCACAACAAAGTTTACTTTTTTTCTTCCTCTCTACTTTTGATCCATTTATATATATATATATATATATATATATATATATATATATATATATATATATATATATATATAACCCTATTTTTTTCATACAAGCTAGCAGTAAGAAATAAATCATGCCTTCTTTTTTTGTTACAACAAAATTATATTAAAAGAAATTGTGTTTTGGTTTTTTTCCTATTAGAAATAAATTACAATTCTTTAATGTCTACTACATTTTATCATAATTTATAGTTTTTATTCTCTTAAAATACACTAAATTTTGTAATTTTTGAAAGTTGATTATGTTTTTTTTGTGGATTCAGGTTTTGAAAAGGTTGTCATTGATGTGGAAAAGGAAGAAAACATGAAGAACCATAGTATTCTAGCAGAATGTATTCTGTCAGAATGTATAAAGTATTTTTTAACAATAATATTCTTTCATAATGGATTAGTGTTTTTGTAAGATTTTGATGTTTTTTTTTTCTTTTTTTAATCATTCTTAGTTTTAATCTTTAAGAATAAATGTAATTCTTAAACCATTATTAGTCATAGTTTTTTCAGAATGAATGTAATAATTGTTTATAGTCTTATTCTTTACGAGTTAATGTAATTAGTGATTCTTAAAGAATAAAATCCATATTTTTTACAAAATGTTATTCTTAATAATATGTTGTATAATTCTTTAAGCATGTTAGTTATAAAAATATATATTGCATGAAACCATATTCTGCTAGAATAAAATCAAAAATATCAGGTTAATTATCAAAAATATCTGAATTGGAACTATATTCTGCAAAAATAAATCGAATATATATTTACCAGTTTATTGTTGGAATTTTATCATCCTGAAAGAATAAAATTAGATTTTTAAATTAGAATTAATTTAAAAAATTGAGATTTTTTAAAAAATAAGGGAATTAATTATCCCTTAAAATTCGAAAATTTCCTTTTTTAATATAGGTTAATTGACCAAAAATATCATTATGCTAAAATTTGTATGATTATATGGTACATATTACCCTATTGTAATATCATAGATTCTCATATCATCACCATTATTATATTTAATCCGATGGTCCAGATTTGTGATTACGAACACACAATAGATGCTAAGAACACATGAACTTAGCCATATATATATATATATATATATATATATATATATATATATATATAAGAAAGATCAACAGAAAATGCATAAACCTAAAAAAATCCTAAAAACCCTAGAAATATATTTTAAGATATCTAATCTCTTTTTTATTTTTACAAAACTAAAAATCGCTACTTTTTATATAAAATCGCTGAAAAAAACTAATATATATAGATATATATATTATATATATATATATATATATATATATATATATATATATATATCTTCAATTTTAATAGAAATAAGTTAGAAAACTTTTTGTACAATTTAGTTATACATAAATAATTCATTCATATTTGCCAAAAGTGTGGAGATTTGAATTAAGGAAGTTTATTAAAAAATTCAATTTGAAGTAAATGAAAATTTTAAAATTTTAAATTCATGTATATAAATTAATATATATTTTTTAAACTAAACATCAATATTAATTAATTTACATCAGTAGTATAAACAGACAATATAAATATAATGTACAAACATAAATATTTTTATTTATAATTGGTATTTTTTATTACATGATAACTAATAATAAAATTTTAAAATTTGTCAAAAGAGTTATTTATCGTCGGTGCTATGCACGAGACACATGTAGTATATATATATATATATATATATATATATATATATATATATATATATATATATATATATGCAATGTTGGATATACATACATGGATATCGATGCATATACATACATACACAGCACATAGTCCACAGAAACCATCTAAAACATTCCTTTCCGTGCTTTTTTCAAGAACAGTGGAAAGTAAAAGGAGGCCATCACTCTATCTCTCTCTTCTCTCTGTCTGCTTCTTTCAGCCATGGACAGGCCTCACTGGCCACAGGTATATATCTGGATCTTCCACCTTCTGCATCATCACCCTTAAAATTCACAAACTTAAAAAATAAGTAAAGTTGAATTATTTCATTTCCTTGAGCTCATGATCATATGAATTAAACCAATCTAATGTTTTTTAATTTGATCATATACAGTTAGTGTAGATGTAAGTTTCCATAGATCTTCAAGTGTGTTTTCTTCTTTATCTTTCACTTGTGATATTTTTAGTATGCATCTTAATTGCTCTTTACTTTTGATAATTTATGTGATCAAGGGTCATGGCCTCATGGGTTAAAAATAAATAAGTTAATTTTGATGAGTTCCTTTTTATTGAAGATTGGTTTTTATGGATTCTGAAAAGCATAAAGCAGTAGCCTTGTTTTGTTCATTTGTCTGCAAATCTTAAAGCTTTTGTGTATCTTTATGTCTAATACATCTTTTCTTTTTCTAAATTATTTCTTGCTTTTTCTTTTCCTTTATCCTTCCTTTTGGTGTTTAAATAGGAGATAGTGGTGAAGCCAATGGAAGAAATAGTAGTTCCCAACACCACAAATTCAAGTAACAATTATAATAATCTCTCAAAGCCATCTTCAAGTTCTTCCTCTCTTGAAAGAAGGATAAGACCACAAAAAGCTGCCGCTGTAAACTGTCCGAGGTGTGATTCCACCAACACCAAGTTTTGTTACTACAACAATTACAGTCTTTCACAACCAAGATACTTTTGCAAGACTTGTAGAAGGTATTGGACTGAAGGAGGAACACTCAGAAACATCCCTGTTGGTGGTGGTTCAAGAAAGAACAAGAGATCATCCTCTTCTATTTCTAGTACTTCCTCTCAAACTTCAGTGTCAAAGAAGCTTCCTGATCTAATTGTACCTTCTGCAGCAACATCAGTACTTTCTCAAAACCCTAGGATCCTTCATGATTACTATGGGCAAGATCTTAACTTGGGGTTTCCATCCGCTAATAATTTCAAGAATGTTTCTGACTTTATGCAAATACCAAACTTTGATGCCACCAGGAATACGAATTCTTCAGCTTCCACCACCAGTAGCATTACAACTACTGCCTCGGCTTCAGCTCAGCTTTCAGCTTTGGAGCTCTTGACTGGAATCACAGCAAGGGGTACAATGAATTGCTTAATGCCGATTCCGATCCCTGACCCTAATTCCGTTTATTCACAGTCAGGGCAGTTGATGATTCCCATGCCGGAATTCAAGATTCCGTCACTTAGCTTTTCTTTAGATGGAATGGCGAGTGGTGGCAGTGGCGGCGCATATGGGAATAGTCTTGATGACAGTACAGATCGGAGGCTTTTGTTCCCATTTGAAGAACTGAAAACGAACACATCAACAACAACAATTGATGAACAGCATGTTGCGCAAGATAGAGATCAGAATGGTGACTCCAATGGGTTCTGGAATGGAATGATGGGTGGTGGCTCTTGGTAAAGAAACATATACATATATATATTTTCTTAAATAATAGTTTTTAATTGAACGTGTGGGGATTTTTCGTCGTTTCTTTCTTTTCAAATCTTGATTTTTCTGGTATGAAAATGGTGGTGGTGATGAGGACTTGTTTCGATTTCTGGAAAAACTAACTTGGTAGGATCACAGCTCGTTTCTCGTCTTGAATTATATGTTCTCATATATATGTTCAGTGATTCCTCCCTTGATCATATTATAAGTAACTTCTGGTATTAGTTTGGGATGATATTATGAGATCCAAGATATTATGAAGAACATATCATCGAGAAAGCAGGTTTTTTATAGAGGTATGAAGAGAAGGGAAAACCTAGTTATTAATGTTATTGGTTAATTGGGCTTCGGGTATAGACACTAATTATGTACAACTTACTATTGGATTTCTTGATTTCCGATCTTTACATATATAGTTTTGTGGGTGTCATCTCTCTCTCTCTCTCTCTCTCTCTCTCTCTCTCTCTCTCTCTCTCTCTCTCTCTCTCTCTCTCTCTCTCTCTCTCTCTCTCTCTCTCTCTCTCTCTCTCTCTCTCTGTATGTATGTATGTATGTATGGGTTGCATACAAGTTCATATCGCTTTCGTCAGGTGTGATTACACAGAAGGATGGAGACCGTGAACATGAAAGTTTGGATAATCAGAAAGCATGCAAATAAGCAGGAGAAAGATAGGGACGCATTGAAGATGAAGACCCAGGTTTGTACACATACTTGAGTATGTGTTTTGCGTGTTGTATTATTGTGGGGCCATGAAGAACAGTATGATAGATATGATCATTCTGTTGAAATCACATGTACATGACGAATCAAAGTCGAAAACTGCTACACCTGCTCAACTGAAAGTTTCAACTGCTTTATTAATCCCATATCTCATCGGTCTAATCTTGCACGTTACTAACTGTACTATATCTCTTTATAAAATACTTAAAACCTTCGCCTATATTATTAGCCTTCTGCGGTAATTTCTAAAGACTTATATATAAACAGTCATTCCAACTTTATCTGTTGACACCTAAAGTTTTTTTTACCATCTAATGTCAGGTTTATGACTATACTAAGGTAGAGTTGGGCCTACTTACCTAACAGTCGCCTTTTCAAGCCAGCATTTATATCCTAAATCCAAGTCTTATGTTTTCATACTAACAAATAAATTGCTAATAAAGTACTTTAATAATGATGAGTGTTTGATCGTCCGAATCTTTCAAAGAATTATCACTAAACTGAAAGGCATAGAATGACATTGTCAACGAACATTTACTTTATATATTCGTAAATATGATCTTCTAAATAATCATATCTTAAGTATGCATGTACGTATGCATGTATTGCATACAAGTTTATATCTTTATAATAATCTAAATATGATATCGTCACAATTTATAACTTCTATAGAATATTGATTTTTTCTTTGTAGAAAGATAAAAACCCTAGGTAGTTCATTTTTGAAAGGTGTGTACATGTGAGGATCAGAAAACATTCCCCTAGGTAACTGTGTTAAAGTAAAGGGAATAATCATCAAATCCGTCCAAGCCACTGAGACAAGTTTTCTTTTATTTTAATATGATTTCTGGTGATAAATGATTGATCTTTATTTGCTGTAGCCCACCCAAAAACATTATTCCATGAAACACGAGAAGGGATGGGCTAAACAAATCTGTTGTTCATATTAATATTGTTGGAAATTATAATAACCACGAAACATTTCCGCTAAAAACCGACTTACATATGCAAGCCCCTAACACTTGGATCTCTCAAAAAGGTTTCCAATATCTAAAGACATGAAATGGAGAGATGCCAGTATTTGTTTCGATGGATCCTTTTGTTAGGTTTATCATTGTAGAGTATTCGGTCACAATATATTGTATTGTCTTTTGAATATGTATGTGTGACTTTCAGTGGCGGAGCTTTAACATTTCATTTGGAGAGCCGAAAATATAATATGTATAAAAATTGATGAGAGGGAGGTCACAGCCAAAATTTTATATTTTTGGGCTTAATATGTATAAAATTAAAGTATATGGACTATTTCTAACCAAAAAATCAAGGGGTCCCAACCCCAAACCCCCTCCCCCCACCCACCCACCCACCCTAACAAAGCTCCGCCCATGTTGAAGGTTATAATACATTTGAGAGGCAAGTAGGTCATCAAGGTGTTGCAAGGTACAAATGTCCTAGCTAGGCGCAACATTATCGGATGCCTGTAATGGCACCTCCATATTTTTTCTCCGATAAGGTTAACATGAATATACAGTTCCTCCAACATCTCAAACTAACCATTCTCTCTTCTTCTAGGAGGAGTAATTTTCTAGTTCGAGCAAAGAGTCACTCCCCTTCCATCCACGATCCTTAATAGTATAGTCAGGATTGTTGTTGGCACGACAATATAAGAATAAGATAATTACACTCAACAGTGTTTGTTTTTTTAGAGATGTTCTTTGGAAGCAAAATGATCATATTGGTGTAATATAAAACATAACAAAACATGTCGGATAAGTTATAAAACATATCACTTCACTATTATATCCGTGCCCATGTAAGCTAAATATAAGGTCATAATGAAGCAGGGGAGTACCCACTACTAACCACAAATATGATGGGTGTCACCTCATCACCACATCAAATAACACTGCACTTGATATACATATCACTAAAACACTACCCCACATCATTTTTTTTTCAAATTAAATCAAAAATGTATTAAAAAACATAGATATTTTTTTAAACTAGTTTTACATTCATTTAAAAAACAATGTTAATTTAAAAAAAAACGAGAATTAAAAAAGAGACAAAAAAACATAATAATTACAAACATAAAAAAACTACTCCCTAACTATTCCTATATCTCGTTCGGAAGGATTGTTTCATTGTGAGAAAAATCTCCAAATCTTCTCTCTCGTAGTCGTCAGCTTTCATTTTCAATATCTCCAAATTGTTTTTTGTTTGTAACGACGTTTGGGCGTTTGTCATTTTTTGTTCTACCTGACTCGTCATCGCTTCCTTTTTGGTATCTTGTACTTGGACATATCAATCAATTTTTTCTCCAAAATCATCGATAATGCTAGAACCCAAATTTTTTGAACACGAACCGGAAGCCGTTTTCCTTATTCTATTTATTCCTATCAGTTGACGAAGAGGTTGTTCATCTTCAAGATCTTCCAGCTCATCATTGATGTTGATATCTTCAAGAACCCAAAATTTTTGAATAATGCTTACCATAGTATAAGAAGAAGATGAAATCTCAAAGAAAGTTGTAACAAGGTTCGACAGAACTTGGTTAGGGAAGGGAGATCAAAACAGATATAACTACATGGCTTGCATAGAACTTGTGTAAACCATCCTTCCATGCATATTTATTGAGTTGCTTTCATGAATCAATACAATTGGTTGTTCAATTGTGGTATTTTTGTGGGATGCTTGTTTAGTTGAGTTTGCTAGGATGTTTGACTTCAGATTAGAGTAGTTGCTTGATGGTTATTTTGATTCTGACAATTAATGACATGTACTATATGTATTTTGGTTTAATATATATATATATATATATATATATATATATATATATATATATATATTAAGATTTGGTAATTAGCCTGTGAACTTTGTATGATATACTTAAGTAGTTAGTCGATGTTGTTAATTTGTTTAAATTTTCTAATTAGATTTGATAATTTTTATTATGCCACATACGTAAGTATATGCAGTATACTTACATACTAATGAAGTATTGCAATATATTTACATTCTGTTGTATTTATGGATATGATCATTAGATTTTGGGATTTGATCATTATATTTCATCATGAATATTATGATAAATATGTAAGTATATGCAATATACTTACTAATCGTTTGTTTAAATTTGGCCATTGTTCGCATATCATTGTGTAAAAACAATTATGTATGTTGTGCAGATGCTTTACATAATTAAACTCTTGGAATATCTAAAGTTTGAAATACATGTGATGATCAAGGGTTGATCATAGTCAATATAAGACTAAGTCAAGAAGTTCTTATATCTAATACTTAAATGTATTATTCAAATGTTGAACATAAACATAATCAAATATGGAATATAAACGTGTTAATAAATATACTAATGTTTAAAATCTTGAAAACACAACAATAATACATCCGCCAAGCATATGATTTTGAAGAATTCTGAATATAACTTCACTATATAAGATATTTAGTTAGCTTAGAATGGTAAATTTAATTTAAATTGAGAATAAGATTTTGTATAATTTAAATCGGTTTGGATTTGAGTTATTAGGATTAAATAGAGAATTTAATTAATTATATAAGATATTTCATTAGATAATAATGGTAATTTCGTCATATAAGTCACATCCATTATGTATTTAAATTATTTATGGCAATATGGAAAGGTTGTTTTAAAGGTCTTTACAATTATATTATGCAGAGTTATTTGGACATTCCAAATTTCAAACATGTAAAGTGACATACCCATTTTTTATACTTTCAAAATTCCAAGTAGTGTAAATAATTAGAGGAACAATTTAAACAACACATACATAGTTAATATTAAAGTTTGAAAGTGTTTGAAAATGCAATAAATATACATAGTCATTAATAGAAACCTACTTGTTGTTCTAACAAGGACAAAATATATAATATGTCTTGCTTATCAACCCCACTAGAAATAAAGCAAGGATCAAGGCTTGTCATGTGCCTTTGTTTTGAACGCCAACTTTTTCATTTTTCTGATACAAATAAATGTAAAGATTCGAGTAACTTCAATGAAATGTAATATTATATAATCGTAATCATATAAAACAAGTATAATAATTTTAGTATGAATAAGGAAGACACGCCCTTATGTAAGATAATACCCCGACAGTCGGGACAAAAATAATCATTTTGGGATTCCTTAAGCAAACCATGTGGGTCTACATGTGGAAATATATTTTCACTTTGAGGAAAAACTACAATACTAAATTCATCATCAACATCCTCGTATGTATCTTTATAATTTTTGGGATGTGTCTTGAACGCAAAAGACATTTTTTTTGTCAAGCTGATTTGTCACGTAAAATACTTGTTCTACTTGTGAAGCCAATATGAAGAGACCAGTGTGTTGGCCTAAATTATTTAGGTCAACAAATGTGTACTCAAGATTGTCCTTCTTCACACCACTTCTATTGTCTACACAGTCACACTTAAAAATTATAATTTTTTTAACATGATATCTAGTATCCATATTTATTGTAAAACAATGTAATTGTGTTTTGGGGTGTAGGTTATAACTTCTTTATTAGAAATGTGCATGTCATTTGCCACTACACTAACCCTACTGTCCTGTTGAACCTTACTTTCATGACGTTTTGTACGAAATGTATATTCATTGATAGCATATGCTTCATATTTTAGTACGTGCTAGTTTGGTCCATTTGAAATCCATCTAAGGTTCTCCGAAATACTCTCTTTGGAGAGCGCTAAATCTCTCTCAACCTGAATATTAGTACAATGTAACCTTTAGCTAAACATAGATACATTTACTTAAGAAAAAACAAGCATTACGGAAAAAAAATGCACCTCGTCTCGTAACCAATAACCAAACATTTTACTATGTTCTTTCTCTAGCCATACTTTTATTTGTGGGTGT